TTTTAAGATATGACTTGACTGAGTGTGTTCTGCATCACCGTAAGCGAACTTTGCAATCAGACAAGGTTAGGAATATATTTTGTATAGCAGTGAATGTCTTCTGTACTGGACTGCCAAAAGATAAAGTTACAAAAGGGGGCCTACAAGCAGGCTGGGGAGGGAAGAACTATTTACAAGGGCAGGAAGTGATAGAACAAGGGGCAATGGCTTTAAACTGGAAGAGGGTAGGGTTAGATGAGATATTTATATTTCATCTATATAGATATAAAGAAATTCTTTCCTGTGAGGGTGGTGAGACACTGGCACAGGTTGCCCAGAGAAGCTGTGGATGTCCCCTCCCTGGAAGTGTTCAAAGCCAGGTTGGATGAGGATTTGAGCAACCTGGTCTAGTGGAAGATGTCCCTGCTGATGGCAGGGGGGTTGGAACTAGATGATCTTTTAAGGTCCCTTCCAACCCAAACCATTCTATGACTCTATGAAATATATTAAGGTATATTTAATGCCCCCACCTCCCCAATCTTCCTTTGCTGCTTTAGTTTCTCGGTTACCTCAGTTGTTCTCTTTTCATAAGCTGAAATCTCTTTTGATTAATCTAAGATCTTAATTGAAAATGTCTGGTGCTTCCTCCCCTACTCTCTTGCCTCTTTCCTTAGAGATAAGAACATAATGCTCATATTAGGGCAGGAAATGTACTGTGAAGTAGATGCTAAACTGAAATGCAGAAGACCCTAAACTGAAGCAGGCCTTCTTTTTAAGTTTCCCCTGTATTTGGAGACCTCAGTTGTGGGCTGTTTGCAGACCAAGCAAATGACAATACTTAGGTTGGCTTGTTTTTTAAATTTTTACTGTATGCTTAGAGGGATTGTAGACCTATTGAAATAAGTAGGTCATTTGGGAAATTGTTAGCTCTTCATTTATTGTAATGTACATTCTGTACATGCATAGCTACGAGGCAGTTACGCCCTTCTGTGTGTGTGGGAGGATGCCAAGGATGAGCGCTGCATTGAAGTGCTCATCTGCAGTGTCAGACTGAACAGTCGCAATTACATTTGGACTAAGTAGATGTAAGAGTAGTTTATTTTGAAGTTTAACTTATGATTGCACTTCAAAGAACCATATATTGGAGCAAGCTGGTACTTTTAACATAGCAAGAATAGTAAGATTGAATATATCCATTAGTGGAAGCAAATAAAAATCAGAGTGATATGAAATGGGAGTACTGGGAAATATGATTAGATATATCTGTTGAGGTTTCTAAAAATTACTACCTGGACTACAGAGAGCTGGCTGAGTACATTGCACTACTTCCTTCTTTTAGCTGTTACTTCAAATGAAAAGAAACTAAAATCAAATGTTTTTAGATAAACAGACCTGTAGTTAATCTGATTAATGCTGATTTCTTCATCATTATAGGTAGGAGTGAAGGTCTTAAGATAGCCAATTAATATGAAATCTACTTTATTAAAATGTGTGACTTGGAATAAAAGACTTCTAAAATTTCAGGGGATTTATTTTGATTTACTGTATTTAGTACAAGGAATATTTTGGTCCATAACTTAGGCTTTCTGGGCGCCACTGTTATAGCAAAGATTCTTTGTTTTTTAAAGGTAGCAAAACCAAACTTTTTCCAGGAGAGAGATCTGGACTTTTCTTCTTCTTTTTTTTTCCCACTTACCCTATGTAATACTCATTAGCAAAACAATAAGCTGCATACCTGATCTCTTTAAAATGTAAAAATGATAATCCTAAAAGAGGACCATCTTTCTTTAATATATTAATATAAGGAGTAAACCTGCTGTTAAAGAAAAAACTGTTTAAAAATTACTTTTGGTGGAAATTTATGCCGTTTAAGGTGTTTTGTATAAGCTGTTGAATAGTCTTGTTAAAACCAAGGTCTTGACTAAACTGACCTTGCAAATAAAGATGATAAATTTTTAAAAGGAGTCTTTCCACTTGTGAACTAGATGTAAAGAATAGATGAATATCAGAAAAAGAGAGCTCTAGGTTGGATTGTTCTTTCATTCCTTTAGCGCTCAGTTACCATGGTGCTCTAGCAGGATAGCAGAGCTACAAGGGAAATGGTGCTGGTGTTGTGATGCCATTGTTAAGGTTTTTCATGAGTTTCCAATACAAACAATTTACATTTCCTTTTGTGATAGCTCTCTAGGAATTTCTTTAAATAAATACCATGGGGAGATGCTTCCATTTTAGAAGATCAGAAATATTTAAGAAGGCTTTATAGGCTCTTGTGTTTTGTCCATAGCTATTGCAGGAACTACATAGCTTGCTTTCAAGGCCAGCACTTTGCTAACATACCAGACTGGCAGCCTGTCAGTTCAAGCCAGTAATTTAAATCTTTGGTGCTAGTCAAAGCTGTCAACTTAATAACAGCTTACTGCATAAACAAGCTGGGGGGACTTATTCTAGGTCATTAGTATGGGAAGTTTCACATACTGAATTGATGTTTATCACTGCAGATTATTTGAAAAGTTAGGCTCATTTGGAGAAAAAGTGGTAGTTTGCTTAAACAACTCTACTTTATGCACACAGCCTTGATCACTGGAGGCAGGAGGAGTAGTCACTTCAGAAATGGAGCGATATTAAACAGATAAATTTTGCTTTTTAAGGAAGTAGAGGGTCATCTGATTATTTTTTTTAAGAGTCAAACAGGGTAGAGGAAGCAGATTGACGTGGTAGGCATCTCAGTATGCCATAGTGGGAAAGATCTGCTTTGCAATGCCTTCTATCACCACAAAGGTCGGTAAAGAAGTAGCACAGAAAGTACTATTAGTGAATGAGTAATGGTGCATATGCAATGATTTGGCAAGTATGACCCAATACACTGGGAACAAATACACAATACAGTCATCTAACTGCTTAGTAATACTACATAGAAAATAATCAATACTTCATATTTTTATCCCAGTTTTTCCCGAGGGCCATCAAAATGGTTCACCAGCAGCCGTGCAAAAGGTTCTCACTAGTGTAAGTGAGAATGTGGGAATTATTTCCTTCATCTGAAAATAGCGTTATCCGTTAGAATGGTGAGTAGGATACACTCTACCTTGTTTGAAGCAAAAATTGAAGAGCAGGTGGTCAAACATGGTAGTTGTAGTGCAGTCATTAGCTAGACTCTGCCTGTGTTTGAAGAATGTGGTATGCAGCTCTGACTGCAACTCAGGAGCTGGGTTTTGTCTCCTTCTCTGATTACAATTGGTCACAACCCCTGCACCATCAGGAAACAACACTCTGGTTCACTGCTTCGGTGCAGTGGTGTTTTGAGTCTACCCAGTCCTTGTAGAGCCTTAATGGGTTTCTGGTGACCAGTTGTTAAAGGGCTGACCAGCATGGTCCTCCCTAATTTTGTAAAGGTGACCAGCATCATGCCACAAAGCTTTAGTAGGTGGAAATTTTGACAGTGTATTTAGTAATATTATGATATTTTAAACATTGAACAATTTAACTAGCACTGTTACAAACTTCCTTAAACAGTTAAAAAAAAGGACCTGTATTGTCTGGAAGCATTTAATTCTTGTAAATAGGAGCATCTTCTATATAATGAACTGCAGCTGTGATACTAAAATAGATTAATATTTCATAGTTACCAATTTTACTTTAGATTACAGTCAGGACTAATTGTGTTCATTTTGCTGTGGATCACTGTTTCAAAGGGAAATTGTTCTTCCTTTTTTTCTCATTTAAAATTTGCTTTATGTATCTTTTAAATTTTTTAATAAATAAAATATGCCCGAACAGATGATGCGTTCTAGTTAGCCATATATAGCTACACTAAAGATCTGAACATTCCCTCATTAAATGTCTTAAATATTTAATTTCTTGTCTGTATAAGCAATTTTTAATTTTCTGTTACATGAAGAGTTTCTCTTATTTTTTCTCTTATTATTTTGATTTTTGAAATATTAGATGAATAAAGCAAAGAGATTCCTTTTCCAGCTGAGGACTTGGGATGATGGGAAATGTACAGCTGCTTAATCTGTTTTCAGAAGTCAGGCTGGAGAATATAAAAAGTAAATACTGTCAGAAACATTGAAGAAAACATTATTTAAGCCTTTTATGTTCTGGTCAATGCAGATGAAGTCATGTAGTTTCTTTTACATAATGTGCCCCTTTAATGGTCCTGCTGGAAATTGACTTCTTGGCAGCTGCACAGTGCAGAATAAGATGGATAAAGTTCTGTTCCTTTCAGAATACTGTAAGTGTGGTTGAAACATTGCTTGTTAGTACTTTTTGGAGTGGAATTTTCTTTCTCCTCTGGATCCTGACCCTGCTGAGGAGATAGAAGGGTATAGTGCTGAGAGTGATGGGTCCATGGTGAGAAATCGCATTTAACTCCTTTATTTCTTCACGAAGGGGCTTCCTGGGTCTTCAGATCACATGTCATTCTGCAAGAACCTTAATCCCGTGGGCTACCTGGTTACTGGAAATGCATGTATACTTGTAGCCATAAGATAACTGATGTCTCTTCGGTTCTGTTTTAGCAAAGCCTGTTAGCATGCTTGATTTCATCCTGGTTAAGCAAAGCTCATGAATTCACGGTGGTTCTGTGGTTACAGGTGTTCTGAAGTGTTTTACTGAAATGGCACTGCAGTCCCTAATGCAAATCCCCTGTATTTCCAGTTCCCAGTATGAGCTGACAGCTGGTTATGAGTCAGTTATCATTTGCTATGATTTGTCTCTTGCACCCTTGAAGATTCAAAAGTATTGGAGTGTTTGCAAAAGTAGCAAGCCAGAGCAGTGCACACCTCCTTAATCTGGCATGACAAAATGACACAACTGCTTGTTTTTTCATCTTAAAGCTTTGCAGATTTGTAGCTACCACGACTTTAATGATGAATAAGAGCTACCCACACAAGGAAAGAGATCTAATGGTGGCTGAAGGCAAACGAAATTGAATATATGTTCCATATAAGGCAGTGTGTGGGAGACACATTCGTTACATACTGAGGATCTGAGCAAAACCATGTGTCATGTTTCCTTAGGTTCTCAACAGGAGATGTGTAGAAGCAGCAGTGATGACAGGCCTGGCACTCAACTGCAGCATAAACAAGAAGTCCTTGTTTGACAGAAAGCACTATTTCTATGCAGATCTGCCTGTAAGTATGCAGTATAGCTGGTCCCTTTTCTGGCTGTAGGAAAGGGCAAGTCTGGAGTACGGATGGCAACAGAGGATGAGTGAAAAGATGCTTTTTCTGTTTTCAGTCAGTGTTCTGCTCACCCCAACAGGATGCTGCGCTGTGCCCTGATGAATAGACAGCTGTACCCTGGTGCTCACTGATTGAATATGATTGCGCTGATTGCTGACTCCTTGCTTAGCTGCACGATTCCAGTAGCTTAATGTAATTGAATTGCGAGCTGGAGCTGCTTTGCCCCTTAAGTTCTCCATTCCTGGTGTTTAGTATTAATTGTCTGTTAGGGTAAAAGCAGTCTGATAATAGTCCTTCATTTAAAGCACATGTATAACAAACACAGCTTCCAGTGGTATAAACATAGTAGTATCTTTGTGTGTGCTTAGGGACCTAAAAATATTTAATGTCCCTTTAAAACTTTCTCAGTCAGTATTTCCAATATATTAAACAACTGAGAAACTGAGTCTTTGCAGTATGCAGCCTGTTGGTAGCTTTCATATTTGGTAGAAAGTGTCACTGGAAGTCAAATGCATTTGCTGCACTTGATGTGGGTGTAGAAATATTGAAATAATTTAAGAACCTCACTTCTGTCATAGCAACAGGATGCAGCAGTGTTGGAGCTTTTTTTTCTATTTTAATTAAATTAAACCTTTCTAATTTTAATTTTTTTTCCTGTCACCTTAATTGTATATTATTTGAGTGTTCAGTTAAACACTAACCTGTCAAAGAGAGGACACGAGTTGTAGTTCCTCTGATTTTGGGTTGAAGATCTGATGACTGCATTAAGAGAAAAAAATCTGTTTCTATTTTATCTGACAAAGATGAGGCATGTTAGCTTATCCTCTCTTTAGCTGAGGTGGCCTGGACATCCAGACACAGTGGGAGATTTCTCAGGTCCTAAATTAATGTGTAAAGGTTCTGTATTATTAACCAAACTACTTTTCTCTTCCACTTTTTTGTTCAGGCATTGGAAATATTTTGAAGTTACACAAAACAGATTCAAATACAATTGCTTCCCACCTTAGAAAGAGAATTATGTTACAGTTGTCCACTGGAGAGCTGGATCTCAGAAGAGATTTCTGTTCTGTTTTTTTCTAGATTGTGAACTTGTCGCTCTCCTATGAAGCTGATGTAATTACTGATTTTGTTTCTGGGGATAACTTGCTATATTTGTGAGCCATTAAGAGGCCCAATTGTTGGGGGCTCTGTAGTGAGCTACTGGGAATGTGAAACAAACTTAGGAGTTTATATTGCCAATACTTTTTTTTTTTCACTTGTAAAGCTATCTTGAAGCCCATTTCCAGACCTGAAGGAGAAAAAAGTGAAATAGCAGGAAACAAACATGACTTTCAAAATTCCTTTACACATTATAAAGAAACACTGAAAACATCACAGACTTGTTTGCAAGACACCTTTGGTGCTTCTGCTGTTAAACTGAAAATAATCTCTCATGTTCTTGTGATGTCTGCTGCTATCAGTCTACTGCTTAGAAGCTATAGGGAGGAATGTTGTCTTAGGAAAGAAACCCCATCCACATGTTTAGAGGAGAAGAGTGAAGTGGAAGAAGGTGTGTACAGCACCACGTAGACTGCAGTTGTCTGCAGACATGGGTTACAGGATCCTCTGGTCAGATAAGCATGGAAATTTGGTCAAGGACATGCTAACACATTTTATTAGCTTGAAACGTGTAATTCTGGCTTTCTACTGTCTGACTTCTGCAGTTTAAGCACTGACAATAAACTGCCCGACCTGCATTTCATAGTGAAACGGTCTAGTCAGGAACCCTGTAATAAGATGCAGAGTTTAGGCTAATGAGCTGTATAGAACAGATAAAATAAATCCAGCTCTTAGAGTTGTTTGACAATGGGATTATTGTTACTCCTGAAAATGGGGCTTTGGATGGGAAATGGGATTCTTGTTATTTATTGTCACTCACTATTTCAGGCTTAAAAAAATCATTTTAATGAGAAATTTTAGGAGATGGGAAGAGCTGTGTGATTAGCATAGGCTGCATAGAATCAGTTATTTTATTTTTCTTACAATGATTATGGTGAGAAGGTCATGCACTTCATTGCGTATATAAATTGAGCTGTTCACAGGGCCAGACCATTGTTCTCCCTTCCAATGCACTGTCACTATCTCTACATTTTAGAGTAAGCTCATTCTTCCTGCAAAATATGCAAATGCTCCTCCCAATTCAATAAAATCTGGCAGGCTTTTTTTTTTAATTCTGACCACTGGGGGCATGAGCAGGCTAGGAGTAAGGAAGAGATGAGGGACCTACCTCAACAGGGTAATTGATTCACTTCTATGTTTTTACATCATTGCAGTTATTCCAATACCTTGTAACTGGCAGCTCCTTTTCTGGCTAGCAGTTTCCACTTTGAGTGAGTCCCAGGCACGAGGTGGCATTTGTCAGCTGTGTGCCTTATGTGGGGTTGCAGTGTCTATCTTTCAAACTGCTACATTAATGAAATTGAGCTTTCTCATTTTCTTGATTTCCACCACCCCCCTTCCCTCTCCCTCTCCTCCTCCCTCTCTTCCCCTCTAGTGAGTAAAGTTCTGAATGGGCAGGGAGGGGTATTCAGCCTGACGGGAGGATGAGTGATAGAACCAGATTAGGGATGGAGGTACCGTAACTGGCTTCAGACAAGATTTAACATGATCAGGGAACCACAGGCGTGGAAGAACCTCTTCTAGTCCATTTCCTGCCCCAAGGCAGTATCAGTGAAATTTATGTCATCCTTGGCAAGTGGCTGTGCAGTTGATTATTGATTATTTCTGCATTAGTGGAGTATTTTATACTTGCTTGTACTGAGGAGTGCTCTTATTTTTTCCAGACCTCCAGCTTCTCACAGTGATGTTGAATTCGAGACCCATCTAGCTTGCTTCCTTTCCAGCTAAGCAAAATAACTTCTGAATTTACATGTGCGTGTGTTCTGTCCACTTATATAGGTTACTATAGAAGGTGTTGCATTTTCAGTTTTGTTCTTAGTCTATAATATTTGCACTTGGCCATGCTGCTGCTTTCTGAAAAGTGACTATTTTACCTGAGTATAAAGCTACTTTTGTTGACAGGCTGGCTATCAGATCACTCAGCAAAGAGTTCCTATTGCAGTGAATGGAAGTCTGTCATACAGTCTCTGCATAGACAACAAAATGAGCCAGATGGTGACCAAAACTGTGAGGATTAAACAAATTCAGTTGGAGCAAGACAGTGGAAAGAGTCTCCATGATGACACAAGGAGCCAGACTCTCGTTGACTTGAATAGGGCTGGTAGGCTTGGATTATTTTCCTGTTTTTCTCTTCCTTTCTGTGTGAGATGAGTCTTTAAAGATAAATGGGTGACAAGGAACAGGTGAAAAATAAAAACAGCCTGATGTTTCTCTCCTTGAAAATAAAAATTCATCAAAATGGCCACTTGAAGCAGGGGAATACTTGATTTTTTTTAATGGCCGATGGACTTTTCCCATTGTTTTTAGTTGATGGCAATTGGCAATAGCAAGTTAGAATCTGTTGGCTTCAGTTTGCTCAAAACTGTATGTGTCAGTCACATACAACCATTCAGCTATTTAAGCTCTTGCCACTCTATGTATTGTTGTTTAAAAAAAATAAAATATCACAGACCTAATGAATCAAGTTTGTGTATAGAAGAAGCAGCTGTTGGAATGTCAGTGCATGAGTCAGACAGTTCTTTTAATTATTAGCTTTGAAAAAATGCAGACTTTCTCTTTAAGCTTTGAAATTGTAAACAGAATGAACCAAATTAACACACATGGGCAGCAACCTGGATGGCCTTGCCTAACTGGGACATGGTGCTCCTCTGTCCATTGAAGCGGAAGGCTGCGGCTGCTCATGTTCTTTGAAAGCTGGATCCTGAGGCTAAAAACTAGCCTACATCTGTTTACAGTTCTGTCTGTTCCAAAATTAGGTTAAGATAAATAAATTTGAATCTGGAATTAGATTGGCTTTAAATGGGAATTCTCCTGGAGAAAGGCAGAAGAGGAATATGTCCTTCTGATCTGCATGTCATCAAAGCGTGGAGGATTGTCTGCGGTTTGTCTGTTCCTTTAAAAAAATAGAGGGAAAAGTTTTTATAGCAATCTGCAGCTAGGCCCATAGTGACAGTTACTAAATAATACACGGGGATTTATTTTTTTTTCTTTTTTCAAAAAAAGCCCAAGTGCTTTCATGTGTTTAGCCAGTTGCACTGTAGTATGCCAAGATCAAAAGCTGTTGTTGAAAATCTCCTGTCTCTTTACCTGATAGGAGTCGGCCTCATGGAGGTTGTCATGGAGCCTGATATGTGCTGTGGGGAAGAAGCAGCTGCAGCAGTCAGAGAGCTTCAGCTCATTCTTCAAACACTTGGGAGTAGCCAGGCAGTCATGGCAGGTACGGAAGGGGGAAGTACATGTTCCTCTGTCACCAGTAATTCTCTGCATTTGCAGTTTTGCAGCTTCTGGTTATTTTGCTTTGTGGATGCTTATAACACGTAGCCTTTTCTAGCTGTTGTTGCTACAGTTCTGAGAGCCTGTCCTAATGTCTGCCACGCTTCAAGTGTCCTTATGGGCCTGCCTTCCTCTGCAGAGTTTTGCAGTGCTAGATTTTTTTATTGCCTCACACAATAATTTTACAGGATAAACCTAGACAGGAAAGGATGTCCCCAGGGTGCTTGTGGTGTTTCTCGCTGTCTGTCCTCATCTTGCTTACCACAGTGCTGGAGGACAGAAGAAATGTAGTACAGATTAGTTGTAGAATATGGAAGTTATGGGACAAAGTAATGGGATCATGAACCATCTTATAAGTTGTGTGTCAGGTCTCAGCTAATCATAAAATGGGTGTAGGCAGGAAACTTGTGCTGGTGTCATGGGTGAGGTGGGGTACACAACAGCGCAGAGCAGACGTGTGTGCTGAGGTTAATTTAAGAACCAACAAGACTGTGGCTTTTACCCTACTTGATCATCTAACACACTCATTCTGTCTCTCCCTCCACTCCAGCATTATGTTTACTAGCTCTCAATTTCTCTTCCCACCAGGGAGGTCACTGCTGGTCTGCAGAGGTGGGCCAGAAAATTGTGTCCATTTGTACTGTGCAGCAGGCTTGCAGATACTGGTCTGAAGTGTTAGAGGCCAGGGTCCCTAGGCATTCTCTGGCATTTGTCTCCATGCATCTCTCTGATCGTTGGGCTCCTCCCCCAGAGGACCTCTCTAGCCAAGATCATTACTATCTTTCTGAGACCACTTTGTCTTTTGGGAACCCCTGCTTTTGGTAGCAGCTCTTCTTTCTGGAACCCTAAGGCCTGAATTTTCCCAATAGGTGTTGTGCAGAAGCACAGCATGGGATCAGCCTCCTAACTGAGGATTCTGTCTCATGTCTCTCTGTTAATTGGAGGACTCAGGTCATGCCAGTTTTGCTCAGTCCTAATGTTATCAAAATTTACAACCAGGCCATGGTTACAGCTAGCAAATAGCAGGCTTCTTCTTGAGAGTTTAAAAGTACAGTTCTGAGCATTCATCCCCTCCACACATACACCCAATTATAAGCTACCTATTAGTGTTCACAATGTAAGCTATATTTTTGCCTGTGACAGTTGGCCTCACTGTTCTGGCAACAAATTCAGCCTTTAATATAAGAGGATGCATCTCCTAGAGAACTGAGTCAGAGTGTATCACCCGGTAAATGGATCCAATAAATGTTGGCTAGTGATGCAAATCTAATTTAATGAAGGGGGAAATAATAATTGCTAGACATTATATATGTCTCTGAATCTTTTCTCACACTACTGTTACACATGTCAAGTGGGGCACAGCTGTTAATTTTAAGCAGCCGGTTTGCATGCTTCTACAAAGGCCTTTGTGGATATAAATATATGCCATCATTTGTTGCTACTGAATTTGGCCCTAAGATTGCCATTGGAATTGCACTGGATCTTTTATTATGGTGAGATTTCTGACTTTAGAGGAGAATTTCAGTGTTGGGAAAGTTTTTCTTCCAGTATAGTTGGCTTTAAAAGTATTCAGATTTTTTTTTTTCAAGGTGGTGTTTTTAGGGCCTTTCTCCTGTGGTTTTCCCTCATCACAGTCACTTTCTTTGAAGTAAGGACTTTACATTCTCATATTTTACATTAATTCTACTTGTGTGTTTAGTGAAGAACATGCCAGTTTTATCAGGTGTTATTTCATTAACAACAAAGAGATTAAAAGATGATTTCATTGCAAAATGAAAGGAAAAGAAGCTGGGCTTAAAGGAAAAAAGCTTTTTTAGAACATTTGGGGCCTGGCTCTTCTTTCACTTATGCCTGATTAACTTCATTGTCTTGTCACATTGACACCTACATCGAAGTAGAAGCAGGTCATGTCTCAAAATGAAGCAAGAGCAGGACAAGACTCCTCTTTTGGAACAAGTACTCATTTCACCCCAAAGAGAGAGCACATGCAAAACACTTCTCTTGAAAGCGATGTTGGGTCATTCCAGCACCTTTGTCCTTCATTTGCATGTCTGGCAAGACTCTGTGAAGACAGAGGAAATCAGTGTACTATCATCCAGCATACGTTTACAAAGTGTACCAAGGCCTCTCTAGTCAATTTACACCTATCGACCGGAATGGATTCTGAAGCCATAGACGTCTTCACAGGTTTAACTCTGAGCTATTTCACACTCTCTTTAATAATGCTACTGTATCTGAACAGTAAGTGCTTGTTTCTTTTTATCTATAGTTGAAATTAAAACATAAAAAACAAAGAGGAAGGCTACAGATGTTGACTGTGCAATATGGGAAAAGTGATGTTCCTTTTTAATACAACCTCTCCTATTTGTTTATTCCCACCAGTTGAATAACTGTTGTGAGCCTTTTCTTCTCAGAAAGGGATGTCTTTAAGAGGGACAAAAATTAGATACAATTACGAGTTACTTGTGGTTGAGTCATTAAAGATCTCTAGGGACATTATTCCATTTTGGACTGAAAGTGCAGGATGCTTTTGTATATAACTTTGTAATCAGTTTCAGTTTTTGGCAGCCAGGAAAATTTGGGGCAAGGGGGGAGATTGCAGTTTCTTGAAGGAGAGAAATAAAATTACAACAAAATCTGCTACTTCTCACATTTTTGTCCTTGAGCTGTAAATTTCCAAGAACACCTTAGTAAATCTGTTCGACATGACTGCAAGTTCTTGTGTTCCATGCTAGGGCAGTGTATATCCATCAATTTGTAATTCCAAAAGGTTTTTTTATGCTGTTTTTAGAGAAATGGAAGCTCACAATCCACCACTTTAAATTGCTTGTTTAATTCTGCCCTTTATTTAAGAGCTGTGAATCAGAAGCTTTTTTCACTATGTGGCTTAGAGGATCTGTGCTGCACTGCACCTTGCAGTTTTCTCTGAGAGAAACTATGAGCAGTCATTTTTTAAAACAAAGTAGTATTCTCAGAAAATTTTGAATGATTGGAGGCAGAGTTTTGAGATGAAATCACAAATAAAACACTATGATGAGGTGGTCGTTACTCCTTTCTGAACATATGCAAGTCTGCTATTAATGCTCTGCACATAACATGCAGTTTATTAATGCATGCCAAGGTTTTTACTCTAGTTTACAGGGCAGACTATTCTGTTGATGGAGTTTCCTTTTACAGAGGGTCAGCTGAGAGTGGATGCCAATGTTTCTGTGCATCACCCTGGAGAGCCTTATGGAGTGAGGACGGAAGTGAAGAATATCAATAGCATACGATTCCTGGCAAAAGCAGTAGGTAAATGATGGTTGCTTCATTATAGGAGCATTGTAAATATTTTATGTGGCCTGACATGAAATACGTCAGGCTCCTGAGTGCAGTAATTGACCTTAAGTGCCCTGAGTAGCTTCATCTGGGTGTCCTATCCATGTGCTTTGCCCATGAGTCCACAAGTCCCATTTAAGCTCAGGCTGGGGCCTTCAGACTTTGCCTGAGGTACATCACAGGAGTGCCAGTTTTCAGTCCTGTCTCCTGATGGACCTTGGACAGGTTCTGTAGTCGTGTTCCCAGTTCTGTCTCTGGACTTACCTCCTGCTACTTCTGACTGAACTCCCTGGATGGATCCTGGACCCAGCTCATCCTCTCACCTGTACTGAGACTGTCAGTGGCCCCTGTTAGTAGCATGTGCCTCTGTCCATGCTGTTCAGACTAGTGGGACTGCACCAGACAGTGAGGGCACTGCCTCTGCTGTGATCACCCTCGGCTCCTGGTTTATCCTTCCTTGTGGAGTAGCCCTGCTCTTGCTGTTTCCTGACAGAAGAAATCTTAGTATGGGATACTCTGGGGATAGCAGCCATGTTAGTCTGCAGTTCTCTTGCAGAGGTAACCCTCTGCCTGCAAGAAGAATAAAGCAGATGATTCAGTGCCTAGTATATTTAGTACTGAAATATGTTAGTAGTAGCTTTGTGTCCTCCAATGCAGATGATTGCTTTCCACTGAGTACGGTAGGTGGTGTGTGTGAAGTTCAGATGTGGCTTGGGAATGAGCAAGAAAGGATGATTATTACATCTCCAAAAGAAAACTCAACTGGATGATTGCAAGGTCACTAGGAATGTATGGCTTGGCTGCAGTGCCTGGGAGAAAATGTTTAAAGGGAATGAAAGAAGATGAGGAGAACACATAAAGAAAGAAACAGTGCTGGAGAGAGAGACAGTGACGGATAATTCTGCCTGTAACTACTGCTGTTGATTTAATTAAGGTTAAAACAACAAACTATTCCATTATTGTATAGCAGTGAAAAATGAAATAGTGGAGTGTACAAAAGCTAATAGTGCAGTATAACAACAAGCTTACTCTTTTTTTCTTTTGTTTCTGTCAGACTATGAAATACAGAGGCAAATTGAAGAACTTGAAAATGGAGGAACAATTCTGAATGAAACAAGAGCCTTTGATTCCAAGCTTGGGTGAGTTTTTGTTTTGGAGGAACATGAGGAATAGCAGCTTTAGAGTACCATGGATACCTAGTGACATGATCAGGAGAGGTAACATAGTATTGCTCAACTTCTGTCTCTAAAGCTAATGTTCACCAGCATAGTCTCCTCACAGGTAGTAGTTTATTCTTATAGTTGAGGCTTTTTCCCAACAGATTGTGTGCTACATCAAGCAGTGTCTGTGTGAAAGTGACTGCCTTCTTACATACACGCATTCTTTGAAGTGGCTTTAAGAAGCTCTCCTGATCTTCATGAGGCAAAGTTTCTGTTTTGTGTTTTTGCCGTAAAATTAATTCTGTGGTGTACCTCTTACCCCATCTTACTTGTTTTGTTTTTATTTTAGGTGCACTGTACCAATGAGGGACAAAGAAGGAAAACAGGATTATCGGTAATTTTTTTTTATTAAAGTTAACATTTCAAGAACTGAGAATTTATTTCATTTCTTAAGTGTAGTCAGTGTAATCAGCATGTACAGTTAGTCAGCATAGTGAATATGTGTTGGAAGTTTACCTTCCACTGGAAGGGGAAGAGACCTATCAAAATCAGTGCCAGTCTGAGCAGTTCAGATCTAGAACTTTGTCTCATCTCTGCTAAAACCCATAGACCTTTCCCAAAAACTAAGCTGGAGTACTGTAGCTTAAAGTGGCTAAGTTGAAGGTTTACTTTATGGTAAGTATTAAACTGTTTTTCAGAGTTCTTGTAACTTACTGCAGCACATTATACATTAAACTTAAAATCTATGTTTATGCAGATTTGAAACAGAAATTATTATAATAAATGTAGAGGGTGCCCAATGTCCTTTATTCTGATATTTTTGAACCCCTCATTTGATCATGTAAGAGTGAGGTTTCTGCTTCAATTGCAGTTATTTGAGTGATTTGAATCGGCCTTCTCTTTAAGGGAACCTTTTGTTCTGTGGTGGCACCCTGCTGAGCACAGTAACTTTGCTTTTAGCACAGCGTGAGATTTCATCAGGATTTTTGAAGTTAGTCTGGAAAAGGTTACAACCTGCTCTGATCACTCCTGGCAGTTGGCTGTCAATCTGGATTTTTCCCTGCTAGTCTACTCCCAGTTTGTCCAGATCCACAACTGGTGCTTGATGCCAAAAGAAGTGGGTTGTTTCCATATCTATTCTTACTGGTTTTCTTGTGGGTTTTAATTGTTGTTTTGGGTACAGTAGTGTCTTAGTTACCCCTTTGCTATCATCAGCTCTTTGACAGTTAGTGGCAAATACTCAAAGAAAGAAAATAGAGGCTTTGCAGCAGTTCAAGGGCTGGTCTCTTACTACTTAACAGTGATATACCAGGTTATGAATTTTTAATGTTATGTTTAGTTGAAATAGTAATATAACTTCCAGGTAAGTATAAGCTTTTGATATAAATGTTATTCCTTGTTGTTTAGCTTCTGACTGAAAATTATTATAAAGGAGTTTTTCTTCCATTTTACTAGGTTCATGCCAGAACCAAACCTTCCTCCATTAATTCTGTACGATGCAAAGTCTTTGCCAGCTAATATAAACCATCAGCAAGTGGTAAATATTGATTGGATTCATGAGAGACTTCCTGACCTCCCCAGTGTGAAGAGAGCAAAGCTTGTTGAACAGTATGGGATTCTTCCTGAACACAGCTTCACCTTATTGGTAGGTCTATTGAACAAGTGCTAAAATAAGCCTAGAAACCTCAAAGTTGCACAGTTTTTTTAAAAGATTTACAAATGCCATATTCACCAGCTGTCAGTTCTCATGGATGTTTTTTATTTGGAAATATATCCAATGCCGACTTTGTACCTTGGAGCCATATACATAGAATGGTGGGGAAAAGAAACCATACACAGTGCAGCTAGAAGAGTTTCTCATGCAAGGTGCAGTCAAATAACTATTATTTAATATTGATCTTGTCTGTCTACACATGGATGCACCTGTGACTGACTGCAACAAATGTACAACTTGCTACTGACAAACCTTTGCCTGCAAGTGCCTGCTCTTGTCTTTGGGTCTGGTACAAGGCGGGGCACATTGTCAGTGTTTAAGAAATTAATAGACATGTTTTCCTGACTGCAGAAACAAAACCCCAAGTTTCATGTGCCTGTTGATCTAGCTTCTATGTTATTTTGAGAAAAACCAGACTTATTCTTAGATAAATACACCAAATGGCCATACAACATCAGCTTTGACCTTGCAGTGCAGTTTACAAGGGATAGGTTCGTAAGAGGGGATGAGAAAGAAGAGGATGTGGCCAATATGGATATAACTAAGGAAGTCACAGCAAAATCTCATAACTTCCACAATTACTCTAAAGGACTCTGAGCTTCTTAAATACAAACTGCTTCATCTCATCTGTTTGCCAATGATAACTCTGCCTGGGAGTTAGTGTACCCACCCAAGATTAGACATTTCACGTAGCCAGCTAAGCTAAGACAGTGCCTTGCTTTGGTTACCTCCATGATTAGTGGAGACAGGAGGAAAAGGACTTCTTTAGAGTAAGATTCAGAACGGAAGCATAAGTACTTTAAATTGTCCTCTGGAGGAGTTAGATTCCTTTGACTATAAAATGGAGGGAGAGCAGTGCACGTAACTTAACTACCTAATATCCCTCCTTTGTGTGTCTGTAATTTAATACACTTGTACAGAAGCCAATTCTACAGAAAAAAAATGGTTCTTTCTTCTGAAGAAAGCTGTTAGGAAAACTGCTTTTGTGGTGATGTGCCATTTTAGTGAGTTGCAGATCTTTTATTGTTTGGTGGGCAGGTGAGTCAAAAGTCTCATCAAAGTCACGAGGCTGCAGTGATAGCATCGAGAGGTTTCAGTAGTTCTTACCTTTCTATTTCATTGTATAAGCTGCAAAATGTGATTTTGCAGCCCATATTCCTGTCCATGCATGCATTTTTTCTCATCAACTTATTTCTCATGTATTAAAATAAACAGAGCTCCGAAGGGTAGGCAGGTCCTGAACCCTTTTTTCTGACTTTCCTTTCTTCTTCTCCCACTTGGTGGTGGGTTGACCCCAGCCAGCTGCTAAGCGCCACAGCTGCTTGCTCATTTTCCCTGCCAGTGGAACAGGGAAGAAATTAGGAAGAGCAAAAGCAAGAAGACTCATGATTTGTGATAAAAACACTTATTTAAGTGAAGGAAAGAGGAAGACAAAAACCCAGAAGTGATGCAAATGCCATCACTCGCCACCTCCCACAAGTTGACTGATGCGCAGCCAGTCTTCGACCAATGACCATGAGTACCTCCTGCAAAATCCCCTCCCCTCAGTTTTCCTTGTTGAGCAGGGCATTATATGGCATGGAATATCCCCTTGGTCAATTTGGGTTAGCTGTCCAGGTTTTGTCCCTGCCCAGCTTTGTCCCCACTCTTGGTCTACTTGCTGTGGGGAGCAGAGTGGGAAAAAGAGAAAGTACTTTTCAGCAGTAGCCAGAACACCAGTGTGTTGCCAGTACTGCTTTAGTCACAGATCCAAAACACAGCACCCTACGGGCTGCTCTTAAGAAAATAAACTGCATCCCAGCCAGACCCAGTAAACCCACTCCTTTCACTTGGCATCAACCCACTTCTTGCCCGTTTCAATTTTGCTGGTATTGATGGCTTCTGCTGTGTGGTTTCTGTCATCTCCATCAGCTAGCCCTATATAATTTGCCTCATCGACTGCTCTTTCTTTCCAACTCTTCTCTGAAATCCACCATTGCCTTTGCTCTTTGCCTTTTAACTTTTTATCCTTTTTGCAATGTATAAGACAATTAATGAGCTCCAAGCTGAAATTTGGGATTCAGCTTGTAATAAGATAATGCATCCATTTGAATGCATGAAGTGAACGTATTCTTCATTGCAGGTCTTCCTTTATTGTGCATTAGAATGTCAGGATGTATACTCTCCATAAAAGTTGCTCGCCTGTTCACTGGGAGACTAGTTAACCTTAATTCATCTGAAAATGGTATGTCTGTTGCTGTGTTAAGCTTACATCAGAAGTTGCAGAAGATTGCTGATAGGGCCAGATGCACAAATCTAATGAGCATTCTTTCAGGTTAGAGCGCCCAGGAGTGCTCATTAAATAAATGGCAGTGGTAGAGGGATGACTCTAAAATGCAAAATCTCTGTTCTGTGCTAACTTGTTAGAGAAAACATCATGCGCCAGAGTTATAATAAAACAATACCATGCTTCAGCATGCAAGCTAGTTTCTGAGCTTACTTCTTGAGCTTTATCCTCATCTACAATAGCTACCTGTACTTACTGCAGTATTGAGAATCTGAGACTCCTGCTTTGCCAAAATACAAGAGGTACTGAAATGGAAGGAGAGTGTTACCTATTAATATCTTTATATCTGAAATTTCTTAAGTGTAAACTGCTATATTTTTTACAATTTTATATAAATTGCATAAATAAATGAAACTTGTGATTTTCTTCATGCAGAACCCTTCTTATTAATGAAGATACAATTATTTGAGCCATGCATACCCCATGGTACTTGGGTACTCAGTTTCTGCATGCGATTTCTACTTTGCTGTGTAAACTGGTAGGCTGGCAGATACTTCAGTCAAGAAGGATCTATGACAACTTTGCCACTTATACTATTATAATACTTTTGTCTTGCTTCCTACTGAGTCAGAAAGAAAGAGGTATTGGCATAGACATTAACGTGACCTTTTGTTTTCAAAAAGCATGCTGAAGTCTGAGGAGGTCCAACCAAAAAATAGATCAGTTGTTCAGTTGTCACAGTACATCATTAGAAGAAAGCACTTTGATCGCTTCCTTTCTCTTATGAATTCCAAGTCTTCCTGTACATTTATTGTTCCTCTGCTCATTTGGATAAAAGTGGCAGTTCCACTTGGGCTTTGGCTTATTGCTTTGGTGGAACTGGAACATTGGTGAATCCTTCAAATAGTCAGACAAAAGTGGGATGCTGTACAAGCTGGTTTTGGCTGTTTTGTTTATGATATGCCATCCTCATACACGTTGATATGCAGGTCATGTTTATGCTTATTTTTGGAGCTTAAATCATTTTATTAAGAACCTGTAGGAAAACATTTGAACTTTCTTTGACTACTCTGCTTGTCTGCTTTAATAGGCTAGATTTTCCTGGGTTTTTTGCCTGACAATCTTGCACATTTTTGCAGCAGTTGTTACCTCACAGTTGGTTATTATGGGAACTGTGATGGTGAAAATGGAAATAAGAAAGCAGAAAATTACATTTTATTTGTTAACATTGATGTAGCTTTCCTCTTCAGTTCTTTGGGAAGCATTATTGGTCTTTAAAAACATAAGTTTGCATTACAGACCCAATGTCCCTGAAGATTGTAGCCATGGTGTTTTGTAAAATAATGTATTGTTTTAAACTTGTTTAAAAAGCACCTGGAATCACTTGACCACTAGTTTTTTGACAACTCAGTACTATTAAATGATCATTTTAAACCACATTTAAGAAATAAATTTGCATCTGGTTGGAATATTGGTATGTCAGATTTCATACCAGTGAGACTCAATAAGTTGCAGCATATTTGGTGTGTAATGGGAGTACCAAGTGTGACTGGGTCACAAACATGGGTGCTGCAGTTCCAGATTTCTGGTTTTCCTCCTATGAAGATTAAAATCCATTATTCAGAATTAAGGGAGAACAGTCAGTTAGTATTCCTGTTAACCAGCCTGTTAGAGCGTGCTGTGGTTTTCAGCTCAGATCTGTCACAAGGGACAGGTGTGTGTGTATGTATGTTGGTAGTTGGTGTGAATTTGGCATAAAGGAAGTTGACCAAAATGCAGAACAAATTAAAAGTCAAGTTCAAGCAGTACAGCATCTAGAAACTGAAATTGATCAAGTTATGCCTGTATATTTCTAATATGGCAAGAAAATAAGGAAAATGTTTAATTTCTGTCAGTCATTTTAATGTTTTGACATTCTGCTCCATTCATTTTAGTCTAGCATTGCTGGGTTTTCCTACTTTTTGGCAACAGAAAATGAAAGTCACTTTAAAGAAACCTAAAATGAAATGCAAAGGAATTTGGGGGAATGTGTCTGTTTCTATGTGCGCGAGTAGTGAGTATGGGGTTCGGTACCTGGTAGCATATGTAAGTCTGTCTCTCTACGTATTCTCAGGCTTTTCCCTTCTTGCTGCCTGGAAATCATCTGATTGAAGTGTGAAGGCTGGGTGTGTTTGGCCTTGATTTTCAAAGGTTTGGCAGCAGGGTCAGAGCTGTAGCTCCAGCCAGGCTGTTGGTATCCAGAAATCTGAATGTGCCCACTGCCAGAGATAGGCTCTCTAGCCCATACGTGGTGGAAGTGTTGGATGTGCTGCCTCTGAGTTGTGTAGCCTGCATTCAGACACGTGGCATCCACAGACATTGTTTTCATGTGCATAATGTTGTAGCTAGACCTACTCTTCTTGGAGTGTTTGTAAAACCTTCTGCAGCATGTGTAAAGAAACCAGCATTTGTAAGTGCTCACTTTTTCCTACCTAGATTGTGTTTTCCTACCTAGATTGTGGAATGGAGCCTGCTGTTTAAGTAATCAGTGTTTGTTTGTGCTAATGAATCCTGAGGTGAATTAGAAAGAGTACAGTATTTAGTAATGCATCACTTTAGTAATTCCACTTAATACACACACAGTTTTTAATCAAGTTTACTGTACTTTGGTAATCATGTCATTCCCTTACTGGGTTTTTTTAAGCCAAATTTGTAAGAACGCTGGAAAAGAAGGGAATCACATCTGTGTGTATTAGATAGATAAAGAGGGGGAGTTAAAAGATTTACTTTGGTTCACAGAAGACTTCAGTGGCTTTCCTAGGCTGAGAACTTGATTTCTTTGTGTATGGTCTCAAGGTAAAGAGGACGAGTCTGGTTTTTGTTACCCCAGTTTTACAGCACATCAGCCATTAATCTAAGTACATTTTGTTCTGTTTCACAGAACAAAGAGCAGTAGTTCAGTCTTCTCAAAAGCCATACGTCATTACCAATGAAAAATGTAGTATCTCAAGCTGTTGGAAGTTTGTATTGTGAAAGTTTTGAGGAGGAAAGTCTAAAATTCTGTATTACTATGGTGATAAATTGCCTCTAAAAACAAGGGGAAATGAGCCTGCTTTGACGGGATGTGTTTGAGTGGGAAAGTCAGGCATTGGTTTAGTGTGTACCTGCACTCTTCTTGCTCAGAACTGCTCAGAGATCTGGCTGCAGTCAGTATGTGCTTGGAAAATGTTTTTGCTGTGATGACAGTATACTTAGAATAGCTCCTTGGCTGTCTCTAAACTGTTACCTCTCACAACTTCTGAGAGCTGGCATGTTCCTCCTCTGCATTTCTGCCACACACTGCAGAAGTCCAGAGGCAGGGTGGATTTGGATTCCTCCTTGTAAAGATAGGAGCTGCCACTTAATATCTCTTCAGCCTTCGGTAGACCAAATGAGTTCTGTGCTACAGTTAAAGATCCGTCAATGCCTTGATGACAAACAGCACAGCATTCAACAGACTGTGCAGTATCTGTTCTTCTAAAAACAATCTCAGATTTCACTTAGGCTATAAATTGAATCCCCTACTGTCATACTTTCTGAGCATTTAGGGTGCTGTGGAAAAGCTTACATAGCTTCTCTGAAAAAACTAGAAAAATAAAACCTTGCTTCTTACAGTGTGACCTTTCCATATTATTGAAGGGTGAATACAAGCTAAACTCACTCCTTCAATCCAAAATAAATAGAAGTGATTGCAAGTTCAAGAGTGAAATATCTGTAGACAGTTTCATGAAAAATCTTTTCTTGGTAAAAGGTAGCATGACAGCCTATTAGATGGCAGCATTATGTTTTCTAGCATTATACGTATTTAAAACATATGAGGAGATGAGAAAGCTCCTCCCCAAATGCTGATTTTAGGGAGAAGTTAAGAAAAAAAGATCACTCCTTCATTGGAAGTTCCATTGAAACAGACAGCCTGGCAGATAAACTACATGTGCCTATTCGAGAATTAACATAGTTTGTTTGCTGTTATGTTAATAAAATTGCTCTTAAGTCTTGTGACTTTACAATGAATTCATAAAACCAAGTTTACTTTAGGATTGAGTATTTATACTCCAAATATAATTGTATAATTAAACAGGTTTGCACTGTGGTATCTTTTTGAAGCATTTAACTTTTTTTAAACAGAATGAAGACGGATTAACAGAATTCTTTGAAAATGTGGTAAAACAGACCCAGATGAAGCCAAAGAAAGTGATCGGCTGGATTCTAAATGACCTGCTCAGTTATTTGAAGCAACATTCCCTTACAGTAAAGGAAAGGTCAGGCTTCTTGATTACTACAGTGGTGAAATGAAAGCGATCCTTTTCTCATTGTCCTGGTTTTTAGCTGGAGCAGAGCTGGTTTTCTTTTTCAGTAGCTAGAACAGTGCTGCATTTTGCTTTCAGCCTGGGACTTGTTATGAGAGAGACACTGATAACACACCAGTGTTTGCATTTTTCTCGTTGGAAGTGAAGGACTTTGTGTTCTGTTAGTCCACAAGCACAAGATCTAAGGGGGTGAGGAATATTTAAATTAATAAGCTAAGTTGGCATTTGGATATGCCAATGGGCTATTCCATGTCATATCATGTCATGTCCCATATATTAGTGAGGGGCTCTTCCTCTTTTGCTCTCTCTGGCTTTCGCTCGGGCTCTCGCTTTTCCGGGATGGGGGTTTCGGTTCGGGATTGTCGCTTCTCTGGGATTGTTATCTGGGAACGGGCCGGGCTTGGTCGGTGGATGATGTGCAGTTGCACTGGGTGTCACTCATTTGTATATTTTGTTACTGTTATCATTATCACTACTATTTTAATATTAGTATTATTTTAAGTTTTCTTTTATTTATATTATTAAACTGTCCTTGTCTCAACCTACAAGCCTCCTTATCCTTGCCACCAATCCTCTCCCCTGTCCCCTGGGGGTAGAGGGGAAGTGGGTGAACAGCTGTGTTGGCTGATAGCCAAGGGCTAGCCCAGTGGAACTGTCACACACATGTACCATGAATAGTATTGTGTCACACCATTGCTTGCTTCTGCTTTGGTTATTGTCTGTGAAGTTTGTTACGCCAGGCAGTACTACATAGGCCTTGACACTATCACACTGAATGAAGTTAGCCAAATACCTTGCAGAGAAGAGGACCTTGTAGTTAAAAGTAGTAATCAGAATCTTCCTTCTTTGGAATATGACAATGGTAAGGTATAATCAAGCAATCAATACCAAAGTTGAATATAGTGTATCATAAGGAAAAATACTAGTTTGTCATGCTCAACTGTGTGGTCTTTAGGCAAGCAACAGTAGCCTAGATATATTGCTCCACCTTATTCTCTGAGGTAACTTTTGTCCCCTTTTTCCCTAGCCCAGTCGGTTCTTGTCTCCTGGCTGACCTTCTGAACCTTCTAGAAAAAAAAGAAATTTCTTCAACAGCAGCAAAACAGGTAAGTGTCTTTTTGATTTTGCTGTACATTGTGGCTGCTTATTCCATTCATGTAGCAATTTTATAACCAGAGTGTAACAGCACGTCAATTGCTTTAAATGGAAATTAAATATTTAGAGTGTTGATGAAGGATAAATTTTGTATCTACTATATACATATAATATATGAAAAAGCCTCATGTGTATATAATTTTACAGATACATTTGCATACTCGGTGATAGAAGGGGGCACAAGCAAAATAGTAGATTTAAGCAATGTGAACTGGAGTCAGTTAAGTAAATCCTGCTTCTGAACAGACTGGACAGTAGATCTCAATTTCACAGTTGGAGTCAGACCTGAGTGAAAGGTCAGTGGGAGCTAATCTGTGACTTGCAGCTAAGCTGAGAGTGTCAGTTACTAGGTACTAAGGGACAGTAAGGTCTGTGTTCCCAAGCATTAGCATGTGGAAAAGGATTTAATTCATCTGAGTGTAGCCACAAAAAGAGTTCTGCTTTGGTGTGCCCCTGAGGCAAAAGTGGAGAGGTCTGGCCTTTCTTTTATCCTTGCTTCTTTGAGCAAGTGCTATCATGGATCTCTCTGGCAAGTACTGATGGTAAAGCTAGTTTCTTCCTCTTTTTAAATATCATCTTGCTTAGAACAGTCTGAAAATCAGCTCTTGATGATTTGTATCTAAAGTTGCGAACGGCTTATGATGGGTCCAGTGACTGCCGTGTCTGTAGACAAAATGTGGAGGTTTCCCATGATAGGGGATAGTCTGTCGTTGAAATTGTTGCCAGATCATTTATGTGGAATGCATTGTCTTTTCAGATTAATTATTGTCCTCTAGATAAGTACATTAGATGACCGACTGCTTCTTCTCAGGTGTTCATCAGTGAAACTGTTAATGGAGGTACTTAACTTGCAGTGAAGATACTTACCTTGCTTGCCTTGTCTGCTTTCTCGCTTTTCACACTCTGAAATACTCAGGGTGGGTTTCCATCTTTCTAGCACATACTGTTTGAATCCAAGTACAACTTTGGAATAGTATTGAAGTCAGTGCATGATTATAAACCGCGTGTTACTGTTGCAAATGTGGCTCTTTACCCTACTTGGAGACACTTAAACTTCCTGGTTGGTTGTTTTCTTTTTTGTAGATGCTTGTTGTTCTTAATTTTAAGTTGGTCTTGTTGCTGGTCTGCTTCTCTGAATAGCCAGCTGCATATAACAGGCATCATAAATAAGGGTTTAATAGCCTAAATTCAGGCATGTGCATTTGGAAATTTTGGACTGGAAAAGTAAAAGCTTCAAAAAGGAGCTGAAGTATTAATAGGAATTTTTTTTGAGCGGTTCTGTGCCTGCGGGGTTGTGGCACACCCATCAGTTCGGTGTCTGCATTTGAAAGGGAAGCTTCAGAACTGCAGTCTTAACTCTTGGCTTCCTTGTGGAGACAGAGACAGGGTACTAATGCTCTTCTACCGAGTTTCCTGCCTTGTGATATATTTGCGTGGCAGCACTTCTGACAAGTTATGAAATATCAAGAATTTCAGAGATGCTTTTCTTGTTTAATTACCAACTCCTTGTGATATGCATGTTGTCCTCGGTGTTCTGAAATTGGACACAGAGGAATAACAGTACTGTTTGCCATCACCAAGTGATGCTATCAAACTGTAGAAACCTTGCCACATTTAGAAAAGTATTTTGGTTGCCTGGATGTCAGAAGAATAACAAATGTTTATAACAATTCTCAGCAGTAGGCAGAGATGCTGGATGGCCCGAGGGCAGAAGGGGCTATATATACACAACAGCAGATGAATTGAAGCACTCGGGGTGGTGGAGAATGAACTGCAGTGGTAGAGACAGATCCAACGAGAGAGGATGGAAGGGTTTGGTGGGGTGAGCGCACAGACATGCATATACATACGTGCTCGCTGCAGGAGGCTGTTAGCAGTGTAAATTTTGTGAGATGTTTGGTGTTGGGTCTCTGCTGCATAAGGCACTCAAACACAGGCAGATAAAAGCTGTGAACGCTGATTATAGACACAGAACATTGTATGGTAGGATGCATATGCCAAAGCAAGGGCACTGTGTGCTTACATAATTACCACTTGGGTAATTACAGAGCTCATGCCCAACTTGCCATCAAACACAGCATCCTACTCCAGAGGTCTCCAAAGCGGTGTCAGCCCGCCGTGCCTGGGCAAAGGGGAGCAGCTTCCAGCTCTGCTGGCGTGCAGGGCTCTGGGGTGAGCATGTCCTGCATCAGGGGACCTGCACAGGCGCATGCTGTGGCCCACCCCAGAGGCACCGTTTGGAAGCCCACAGGGGAAGGTGCTGCTCACCCAGGGCTGAAAGCAGTCTGATGGGGAGCATGCCCGAGATGGGGCCTCGGTCCTCGTTTACAGGGCTGGCAGTGAGCACACCTCTGGCATAAGGGGCCTGCCTTTGAGTTACAGTGCTGTGGGAGGAGGCTGGTTCCTGGGCCAAGGAAGCAGAAACCTGCCCCTGCTGCTGAGAGCCATGCTGGAGCCTGGACACCCTTGTTATGCATTCACTGGGGATGGAGCAGAGCAGATCCCAGGTCTTGTTTGCTTCTGCAGTTGCATAGGTCATCCCCATAGGAATCACTTCAACAGTCCCACTTGGCACCCCTACTTTAAAGTAGATAGTAGGGAAATGAGTACAGTACACAAACCTAAACAGAACCATCTGCTTTGACAATTACATCTATACCATCTGGAGGACTGGACCCAGCCTGCCCCTCACTTCTGTCAGAGGCTGAGGGACAACTGCCAGACATCGCGGCTTCCATCACTGGAAAGGAGAGATGCCCACAGGACTGACTCAAGTGGTACTGCCTGCTGCTTCCCTCCCACCCTTGGCAGCAAATCACTGCAGATAGGGCTTCCAGTTGGAACGGTCTCAGGCACAGCAGTCAGCTGGCACGTTCACCAGTTGCAAAATGTTTGATACGATGCCTGTGGCAGCCAGACGTGTAAGTCCTGATTAATTCATCTTGACCAATGGTTTGCTGCTATGCCTGTGTAGGTAGAGACCGTGGAACATCATTAAAATCTAATCACAGACAGGCAAAATCTAATCTATTCTCAGGCAAGAATCAATAGTAGAAACTACGGAGATTTCAGTAATGGAAATGAGGCCTGAGATTCTCGTTTTGGCTCTGGAGACTTCATAATTTGATCCTTCTGTTCTGGTGCAGGCAGGTTGTGTAAATGAGTTGAAATCATTTTTTAAACGGCTTTCTTTAGATTTGTACTCCTTGCCAAGTGGAGAAACACATTTTTAAAAGTGCATCTTTGACAGGTCTTGGCCACATCTCTTTCTGCTTTCCTACATACCTGTAAACAAGCAAGGGCCTTGATAACATTGTTGCTCTACTAGCTAAGTGGAGATGCTTGTTACCAAATTGAAAAGTACACATGATGCAGATGTCACAGGGAAAATCTGGTGCCTTCAGGGTTTCTAATAGGCAAGCTTTTCTCAGTGCCAGGAGACATTTGGCATAGGAATAGCAGGGAATCAGAGCTGGATCTCTGACTGTCAAGCTGTCCTGCCCCTGATCTAAGTCAGCCTGATGTATGCGTGGCTCCTGGGTAACTCTGCCATGGTCGGCTGCTTAGATTTTATTTGTTGCAGATTTTCCCCTCCTGCAGCCCATGGCATCCTGCTCCAATACATCCCAGTCCTACAAATCACATCTGCCTTTTTGCGGGAGAGCGATACGGCTTACTCATTGTCCAGCCCCTGATTTGTGCAGTGCTTCAGACCCTCCAGGGTATTTTGCTATGAGCTGTGCCGTGCAAAGAGGACAGGCTCCTTCTGAGGGTGATGTACCATCCCAGTGCCTCCAGAGGCCTCGAGGACACAAAGCTTCCTGCCTGGTCCCTCAGGGCAGGAGCGGGAGGGGGCTGCCTGGGGTAGCAGTGCAGTGCAACAAAAAGAAGGCAAGCAGCTGCAGGCGGGCTGAATCTCTGTCAGGTGTATTTCTTTCTAGGGGTATTCCAGGTAGCACCGGCATGGTGATCTTTTCAGTACTGCACTAGAAGGAAGATCTTGTAGAAGACATCACATACTGCACTGATTTATTTAGATATAAACATCTGAAAGCTTTACTTATAGCGGTTGTAACTCTGGCTGCTTATCAGTAACGTTAATATTATGATCTGCCTTTAACCTTCTTACAGGGGAAAAAACAAGATGTAGCTGCCACAATACAGCTGCGTGTCGTTACCCTCTCTCAAGGTCTCCAGCAGAGTGATAAGATCCCATAAAAAGCTTTGGGGTACTGCTGGCAAACAAATCTCCTCTTGCAGGAATTGTGTCAATGCATGGTTCTCAAATTCCTGTTGTGGCTACAAAACTGTTTAACTGAAGGTCTTTTGTGCCAGGAAATTCTTCATGCTGAAGAAAATTGCTGGGGTAGTTAAGATACCATCCCACATGATTCATTTCTCCTAAGTTGTCTTGCTGCCCTGCTAGTTATTTAACATGCAGTTTGAATGCCCCTTCTCATCTCCCCTTCCCAGCATCTCCTTCATCCTACAGTGAGTATTTAACGCCTGAATTTTGACATGACAGCCATTTCCATATTGGTACACAGCAATGGCCCAAACATACAATTATATCTTCAGCTCAGGATGGAGCACAAGCAGCTGTTTTAATAAAGGTTTTCTTTCTCTCCTTGCACAGCTCTGAAATAAGAGCAAAGGGAATATAGAAAATGACTGCCCAAGGAAATTGGTTTTTTATAAATGTTCTCTTCTCTCAAGTTTATTCCAGGGCGATAGCCCTGCTACAGCGTAGGAAAACACACCAGCATTAACAAGTGATTACTCCAGAGGCCTGGGTTCCCCCAGCATTCCAGTACTGGGAGGTGATGCATAGGTGGGCTGGAGCTGCTGCATCCATTCTGTTCGGCACTATTTTTCTTCTGCTTTGTCACACGTGTCCTCATTACAGCTGGCTGATGAGGACTGGTAATGGGATGAGTTACCTGGCATTGGACTTGGTACAATAGTCAGCTAATCGCCGGTTCCCGGGCAGAGACATTTCTCAGGGAAATGCATTTTCTTACTGCTCTCGGGCAGTTCTTGTGAATAATGTGAGATGAGCGTGAGAGCTGCCGGAGGAGCCGTCAGTGACACTCCCTGGCATGGTGCCCCCCTCTCCCAGCGAGGGAACAGCGGCTCCATGCAGCGAGGTGGACGGGGGCTGCGCTTGGCAAACGTCTTTGAAGAGGTCCCACCACCGGCAGAAGCAGGCAGCTCCCGGTACTGCGGTAGGCTGCAGAGCACCGACTGGGAACCATTAACCTGAACCTGTGCAGCCGTGGGAGTGCTTTGTCTTATTTCAGGAGGCAAAGAGGAGGGCGGGTACAGGAGCTCTTCCAGCGAGCGCAGGATTAAATGTTGGGTCTGGTCACGTTTAGACAAATCTGCTCTTGCTTTAACTAAGATCTGGCTTCTTGGATCCGTAAGTGAAATCCTGCGTGTACCCAACATTCACATGTCACACACTGACCTTTGCCACTCATGATTTTCAGGTGCTTGCGGAATTGTGGAAAGGAGAAGGGAAGACTCCTCTTGAAATTGTTAAAGAAAAGAAACTTGAACTGATACAAGATCAAAAAGAGCTTGAACAGATCTGCCAGGCGGTGATTGATGGACAAGTAAAAGAGGTGACTGTGATGGTGCTGGGGAGCTGTGCACACCACGGCAGTCTGGGGCACTAAAAAGGGGGGTAATTTTTTTTCTTTTTTCTCCTTTGAGTGGCATTTGAGCTCTAGAGCCCATATAGGAGCATTAAAGCTGCTGCTCAGATATTAGGCTTTTCTTCTCCTTTCTTATTCAACTAAGTGTTCTTCTGGAAGTTGAAACATACCCAAAATGATCAGCAGAAGAACTTGCCAGTCTGGCTAATGCGCCAAGTCATACTGAGAGAAACCATCAAAGTTTAATGCAGGAAAGCAGAACGGTGGGGCCCTGACCCCCTTCAGCTACACTGCCATTAACCTGACCTGGCCACCCAGCCACATAACTCTGGTTTTTGTCATCTGTTGCCATATTAGGGCAACACTGTTAAACTGTTCTGAAGCTGGAGGATGAGGTTCCCTCCAGCCAGGCATATATTAGTTATGGAATTAGCGACTGTATTAGAGGCTGGCAAGGCAAAAATTTTACTTGCATCTGTCTCTTTGCCATATCCCTGTCTCCCTCCGCTGCCAAAGAGATGAGTCTTAGCTGGCTTTCCTACCTGACAATGGTGGTGGGGGGGAGGAACCGGACGCCCATCAGTGGCTCCAGAGCTGCTGTCCTGCTGCTGGGCTGTGGCAGCCGCACAAATGCTGCAGTAGGAAAGATGAGGTTTTGGCTCTTCCCCATCTCCTTGGAAGGACACACAGCAGCCTGCGTGGCTTATCAGTCTAACAAGGTCTGAGTTGGGAAAAAGGGAAAAAAAAAAACCCTTGTTGATGATGAAGGGGAAGAGTGGGAAGAGATCTTGACAGATTCTAAAATCTGCTTTATAACGAGCACAATGAAAACAAGTGCTTATATGTTCTCTGGAGCAAAAATGTAAAAGCAGAAGTGAATAGCTTACTTCTAATATAAACATTGTCTGGATACATTTGCCATTTGGAAAAAAACATTAACATCTTTTGAGAACAATACCACCCACCCGAGGTCTCGTTGGGGGATGCTAACAGCTCTGCAAGAGCTTTTGATAAAGAAAATGAGCTTGCAGTAGGTTGGCGTGACCTCCATCAGACGGACTCATTTGCAGAGCCTGATAAAAGCGCTGCTGTATTTTCAGACTGGTACAGAAGCACAAGTGTGGAGAGAAAGAACATTAGAACTGATTGGGAGGTGCCGAAGCCGAAGGTCCATAACTGTGCTCCCATTTCAATAATAGCACTTTCTCTGAGAATGTAATTCCTCTCTGTTTTGTACTGGTTTAGTTAAGCCAAATGCAGTAGAATGGCCTCACTTCCCTACTTTTTCCAGATGATCTTTTGCCAAGGCAAAAGCTGCCTCGAAGGCCTGTAATTCATTGATTTAAATTGCTGCGAGAGCTTATTTTACAAAATAGAGTTAGCTGAGTACTTGGGGGGTGGGGGGGAGGGAAACTGTGCCTCGCTTTTTGATAGGAACTTCCTTTAAAATGAACTAGCCTACAAACAGTCGCTCAAGCCAACACTGAGCACTTTATGAAAATGCAGTACCTGGCTTGTACTGTATCCTGCCCCACATCGGTGATTTCCAGCAGATCAGGAGTAATGCATCCTTTCTATCTTGTGACAGTACAGAGAAGATTTTAGACTGCCAGTAATTCAGATACTGGAACAAGTAGCAATATTTGCATTTGTGCTTGTCATTGGCACAGGGGGTGGTTCATATGTTCGCAGTCCTTCTCTTAATATCTGTAAATGTGACATCCTGTTTAACTGAGGCTGTCATGTTCTGCCCAGTAACTGACAAGGTAGAGAACGTCTCCCCTGCCACACAAACAATGCGAAGGCCAGAAGCTTGTCTTTCAGCAGTAGTAGTGTCTTTCAGAAATGCCTGAAATTGAAAATTTCCAATGCTTTTTTTCAGTGTCTTTACTTAGCTTTTGAACGTGGCCCTTGCTATTTTGCAGGTGACTGCGCATCAAACACCAGCTATCCGATGGGAGGTCGTATTTCTGATCAGTTAATTAATTGCTATGTTGCAAAGGATTCCGTGCTTAAAGGAAAGAACATGCTGTTACAAAAACACCTAGGTCTGCACTTGAAGGACCTCACAAATATTATCAAATAGTTTGTGATTCGATGTAAATTACTTGTTATAACTGAGCAGTATATTGAGTAAAAAGGTTCATCATCCTATTGGCAAAAAGAAGTTGGTCACATTTTTCTGGCTTTTTTCCAGGAAGCTGCTCTTCACGTTGCAGACATTGTTAAAAATCCAAAAGTGTTTTCTGACTTTTTCAATAAGAGGAGATCTTTCTATTAGTTGCAAGGCCCTGCTGCTGTAGGGACTTGCTGCTGTCTCATGGGAGCAAAGCAGGAGCTTATTGCAGAGCTGAAGGCAGTTTTTATAAATAACATCTTAGCCCAAAATAGTGTTCTACCACAATGGTCCAAAGTACAAAAATATTCATACCTTGTCTGTGAATGTGTGAAAGCATCCAGGTTTACTCTAACAGTGGTTCTGTCTGTTGTTTGGGTTTTTTTTTCTTTAAAGGTTATGGCAATAAAAGCAGGAAATCGAAAAGTTCTAAATAAGTTAATTGGCCTGGTACAAAGAGAAACACAAGGACGATCCAACCCTGTTCTGGTGAAGCAATTATTAGAGAAGAAGCTGTCAGAGTAGCCACAAGAGAAAACCAACCAAGTGTCTACAGAAAACGTGCTTCATTCTGTCTGGTTCACTGCAAATGAACTTTGGTGCCTCCTCGTGTATCGTCGGGATTATTGGTTCGGTTTCAAGCAGCGTTACACCCTCGCCTGCCCCGGCTGCATCAGCCAAAGGAGATGAGCAAAAGAATAGCAGGAGATGAGACACTCATTTGCATCTCCCTCGCTCCACTGTGCCATTCGGAGCTGTGATTTCTGCACAGCTGTGGGTAACAGGTTCCCAGCGGTGTCTGTGAGTATGCAGAGAGCTGAAGCTGTAGCAGTTAGTTTTGCAATAAAGCAAGTGTAAACTCCACTCTCCTAACTGCCTTTTTGTGAAGAAGGGAAACTGACAGATCTTGAATGCAAAATCTGGTGGTGTACACTAATAACTCACTGTAAGTTAGTGTGAGCACACCAGTAACAACGATTAAAGCACCTAGCAGTAATGAAGACGACCACGTGTGCTTTCATACCTAGCAGAAGGGGAAAAAAAAATGTCCACTGCTGTCATTCTTCCTGGTTTCTGAGGGATCAGTTGCTGGCTGCTTAAGTGAGCGCCTGAGGCTAGTGCCACAAACAGATGTGCCTACACCTAAGAATTAGTGTCAAACTGTTTGCTCAACCTCTCCTTGTTCTGTACCCAGACATCTGCCTCCTCACAGCTCTTTCACTTCTGCCCAATGGATGTACGTCTGAGCCCTTCTGAGGGTCACATCTCGCTTGGGTTGGTGAGGTTCAGCATAGCAGCTGTGCTTCTGCCAGCCCTGTACAACCTATGGAGGAACAAGCAGTGCCTTTCTCCAATGCAGCATTCACCCCAGTCTGGTCTTTTTTCTCTGCTCCAAGCCCAGGGCTGCAGGCTTTCTACTGTCACCTAGAACTGCACCACTTTGTGGAAGGAGTTGAATGTGCAGTTGGCTCACCAAAACTGAGCAGGATTCAGCTGCATTCCAGCATCTGTTCCACTGTTTAATCCTAAGGAGTGTTTCCTGCTGGTTTTTTTAACTTCTATTTTTCAGTTCCTAGCTTTAAGTACCCACCGAGACCCAGGATCCTACAGCTGCCTTCCCCGACCCAACCCCCTTGAGCTGATCAGACCATTAACAGGAAATGCAACTAGAGGCAGCCTATCAAATTTACATTTATTTAATCTCATTTAGTACCAGGGGTTTGAAGTTCTTAAATCCCTTGTGGAGGCTGCTAAGCCCTACATTTTAAAGATCACATTTATGTCAGACCTCAGAGATAGTTCTTTGGAATTGTTCTTTAGGATGTGCCTACAGGGCAGAGGTCAGAGGAGTGCAGCAGGTATGGCCCTGGGACTTCACTCACCTTTTGCAAATGTGGTGCTTGCAGCCCTGGTTCAGACGAGGGTGATGGCAGTTCATTCTCCTGAGGAGTAGTGCTAATGGAGGACATTTCTGTACAGACTGGCTCACCGTTCAAGTGTGTACTCTTAATTAGAAGGAAAAAACCTCTGTGGTTTTCAAATACATTTAATGAATAAAGTGTATACCCATTATTCACATAAAAATAACATTACAATTCAAAAGTCATACAGCTGACAAAAAGCAGTAACATGGTTGCAGTCAAAACCGTGACCCTTCAAAAATATACAAACAAACAAAAAACCACCCAAAACCCCCCCAAAAACTGCCCTAAACTAACTCCCAAGCAACCCCCTCTCTGGATTTAAGGTAACCTGACCTTCACACAAAGGCTTTTACTGTCACTTTTCACATCATGAGCAAAAAGGACCATTTTTTCCTTACAGTGGTGTGAGTTTTCAGTTAAGTGTTCTAGATTGTAGAGCAAACTAAATTTTGGAATTCTGTTCAATTCTTGCCATGGCAGCAAGAAACGAAAAGGCACAGGGGCTTCTGCATAAAATTTTTACTCTTAATTTAAAGGTGCTCCCTCAGTTTGGAATAACACAGGTTTTTCCAAAAAGTGGTCCTCCAGGGTTAGTGCTTTTTGTTGCACACTCGATGCCGCTGGGCTGAGTTTTCCCTCTGCTCTAGTGGGTGCCTCTTAAGAAAGAGAAAGCAAACCAACAGTGTATTTGGCAGCGTAATAATTAAGCTGTGTCTAAAGGAAGGAAGGATCTCCACTCCTGCAGCATGGCTACTGCTGGTAAATGTCTTTTTAATGGCTACTTCTTCTTAGCCCCGCTTTTCCTACGTAATTACACTTTGCTAATATGGTACAAAATCTGTTAAAATTATGATCCAAGCTCCATGTGAGGACAGCATTAGATCTTTAAATGGATTTACTGTAAATCTCAATGTATTTTCACCTCCACTTGCCAGACACAATGGGTAACAAGAAAGATTAAAAAGGGATAATTGTCATATTCTTCCCCTTCCAGGGAGGGGAAAGAGCAGCTGTAGTCTATAAATTTTGCACTATATTATGAAACAGTCACTTCTAAAATTTTTAAAGAAATCTTTTGCAGACGCACACAAAATGTAAATTTCTTTCTGGTAGGAAAAAAAAAAAGTGGTTTCAGTCAAATGAGATCAAGATGATGAATCTTTTTAACATTTGTGGAGAAAGGAGCTACCAACTTCAAAGCTGTGGTAGCTGGCAGCACTAGGACGGAGTGACGAGGCGGTGCAGCAGGGCCAGCTGACATTGCTCCCGCTACGGCAGCCTGGAGTAAGGGGCTCATCAGTCACCGGACACCATTTGATCGAACCCACGCAACCCAAACACCCCACCGATTTTTGCCTACCAAGGGCCTGATACAGCAGCCTAAATACAAGCACCACCTTCCTCTGTGTCTTAAACGGAGCTAAAGGCAAATTCTAAATACTCCACCAGTGATCTCTGTACTGTGCAAGACAGCTTGGGTTTGTATTTGCATTGCAGTAGTCGATGGGGTACATTAGAAGACAGAAGCAGCAACCTCAAGGAATTTAATATCTGCGACTATAAAGACAAATTAAAAACCCCCCCATAGGACAGGTGGGTCTGCAAGATAAAAGGCAGAACCTGACTACGAAGCATTCGATGTCGGAACGCTTGGAAGACCAAGAAGCTGTTTAAAGTGTGGTTGTACCAAGGGTAGGAACTCAAGAACTGAGATTGAGGCTTCGACCCTGACCAGCAGAAGTCTTATTTAGCTGCAGCAGTGCTCCCCGACCTGCTGACTGCAGATGCCATCTGTGCAACAGCACTAGGCAGGGTGAATCAAGGACAGTTTCGTGCGGATTTTCAGCACGAACCATCCGCGAACAGGGGGCCAAGGAAAATGCTCACAAATTAAAAGCTGACACCAGACACTGTCACGACAATCTCATCTACTCGTTGCTGGAAGTCCTTTAGGAGGTCACTCCTGAGGGTGGAGAGATGATACCGACTGTCCTGTATAGCTGAAGTATCCCATAACCGAGGTTGCAGAAGAGGAGAAGAAAGTTGTCTATAAAGACGCTGGCAATGCTGAAGTAGTGAAGAAAGAATTTCTAGCACTCAGCCGTGGCTGCAGAGTTTAATTTTAACTGTGTTAAAAATAGAAGCATATGATAGGAACCTTAACTAAAAAAATTCACAGCTAGAGTATTCACACTGCAATTTCACTGCGGCCCCTTTCCACTCCACTTCTGCGGCGTGGTGTCAGCGCACCATAATGTTCTCATTTCTGCTCTGAGCACCCCTCTACCTACACACTTCCACACCCACTGACCTCCAGCAGCACTTTGTCGGTGATTTTTGGCCCCATGTGCCTGCTCAACACGTAGAGTGTTTGTTTTTTTCACATAAAGAAAAACCATTGGGTTTTTACTCAAAACTCTCTTCTCAAACTGTGTGAGGGACAAGACAGAACAGCACACTGCTGGTCTTTCTGCCCTTGCTGCCTGCACCTCCTTGCAATGCCGCTTACAAATACTCCAGAATTCATTGGATTCTGCTTCACATAATGGCCATAAAAAAAACAAGTTACAGCAGATAGGAGGTCAAGATTGATCGACCCAAATGCTAAGAGGCTTACCTGCACTGGGTTGGCTGTTGAGTGCAAGTTGCCCCTGGCCCCTCAGAAGCTGCAAGCTTTCAGGTAATATATATATAGAAAGAGAATTCCATTGCTAAACAGTGTGAGGAAGGGAATAAAATACAAAATCCAAAGTTCTCATGACCTGTAATTTGCTGCACCTTTTTCTGCCCATTGCAACAGCAAATTTAAACTCCATCTAGAAGAACCCCTGGGCCAAGCCAGATCAGTAATTGGGGATGACTGCAGCGGGAAAACAAAACCACCAGGAATGCTCCTTCTCATCTGACCGTGCTCCATCCAACACACACCCTTCATCAGGCCCTGCAGCCTGAATTCTAACTGCAATAAAGCAAACGTTCAGAAATGCTCAGGTGCTGCCATGAGGCAACAAGGATGCCAAAGGAGGTCGAGTTTAGTGAGCAAGGCAGCTGTGCATGGTCCTGATGATACTGACCGAGTCTTCCCTCCAGGACTATCCTAGTCCCAGACCCTGCAGATCTCCCGTAGGGCGTACAGGCGTCTCACAACTGCCTGCAGCATGTGCTGACCAGTTGTACGTACCCATGGAGAGGGACCCTGACCTTTGCTGTTCCTCCCCTTTATCTCTGTGCGAGGTCCAAGTCGTAACCCTGCAAATGACTCCATCTCACCTGCTGGCTGCTCCCCAAAAAAAGATGGGTGACAGCTGTGCCAGACCCCACATTACCCCAGCACATGCACAGGCAGCCAGTCATTTCATGCCACATCCATCGCCTTGTCATCGCAGCCTTTGGAGAAGGGCCCAGAGCTGGGTTCAGTACTTAGAGCTGCAGAGCTTGTACTACCATGAGCTAATCCTAACAAGCATCTGAAGGCCAACGGTTCCACTGTAGGGAATGCTCCCTCCATGCACAAGCATTTTGTGCAAACATGAAGCAAAAGTTCTCCTGACATACGGCCGTATCAGCCACAGCTTTAATTATCTAAAGCATTTACACCCA